CATAGGAGACCTGAATCAAGCTCCTGACTTCAGCTGGCAACAGCCCTGACTGTTGCAAACATTGAGGGAGTGAACCAGAGGATTGAAGGCTGTCTTCAACACTCTGAAATAAATTTACCTTTTTTTTTTAAACACTATCATTTTTTAAAAAATATGAATTGACTATAAATATAGTCGGCTTTTACGTGTTTGATTCTGTGTTCAATTTAAGTGTCTGTCTGCTTGCTAAGACCACAGTGTCATTGCTACAGTTTTATAATGAGCTTTAAATTTTGGGAGTGTTAATTATTTTTACTACTTCTTCAGAATTGTTTTGAGTATTCTAGCTCTCTTGCTTTTCCAAATAAGATATAATTTCCTGAAAGTTAGGTTCAGTGCAGGATCTGAAACCTTTGTTTCTTTCTAACTATTTCGGATGATGTTTATGAAGTTGATCAGGGTGGGAAGGGCGGAGGGTTAGGGAAAAGTGGGTCAGACTACTGTTTCCAAAAATTTTTTTTCTTTCCTGAGCCTGGGGAATGGGGGGAAATAATGGGAGAAGCCACACCCAGCCTCTCAACTGCCTCAGTATCCAGGGATGGGGAACGGACAACTATGTCATCCCAGGGTCCCCAGTGTGGAACATGATCCTAGGATTAGGCTGAAGTGGTTTTGGTAGTTCTGAAAGGCTGTCTAGCTCATCAATCCAAGGATGAGAAAATCTTTCCAAGGTGCTTTGGCTGACATAGTCCACCTTAGAGTCTCCATTCGCCCAGATATTTGCCGTCAAAGGTTAGCTGGGGTAGTTGTCCAATTTGTTCTGTCCTCCTTCCTCTGCTATTTTACTACATGTCTTCTGCTGGCCCCAGTGGACTTCCATATCCTCCATGTGCATCTGGATACCCGTCCACTACTCCTTCTAAGCCACTGAGGAGGTCCAATTCTAACATATGCACTCCCCAGTCAGATTACAGATACTGCAGTTCTCCCCATGGTTGGAGTTCTAAGTCCAGCAGTTCAGTTGGGGGATCCGCAAAGAAACCTCATCTGAAATAATCCTAGACCTGACTCTTGTGTGTGCTTTACAATAGGGTTCAGCTCAGTCCATCACTCACATCAGCCTACGCACACATTGGTAATTATAATTGCTGGGTGAGTTCTGTTTCCAGCCCCGTCTCCTATATAAACCAATGGGTGCTGCAGCCCACCCAGCACTGCCCACCGCACATGTAGCCTAGTTGGAGCAACCTCCAGTAACCCAAACTAGGCCTGCTTTAAGCCCTGGTTTCTGTGTTTGTCAGTGTGTGTAGCAGACTTATCCAGTCTGTTCAATATCCCATTCAGCTCTTCTATGTAGCCATGGACATTGAAGCCTAGTTCAGCCCAAGTAACCCCACCTTTTAGCCCACACTTGTATGGTGGCCACCATCGCCTGTCTAACTAGGCCGGCTCCCTGCCTTGGTTCTCAGGCTTACCAGTAGAAATTACAACCCATCAGAGAAGTGCACAGTTTCCCTACTGGGACCACTCCCAGTCCTGGATCTTGCACTCTCCAGGTGGTTCTACAGACTAACTTGGCAGGATTTGCCCCCAGACCCAGCACTTGCTAGATGATGCTGCGGCAAAGCCCAACCAGCCTGCACGTACTCTGACTTATGCATGTACCAGTGGATACATTTATTTAGCCCACCCTGGTTCTCCACTTAATCCAGTTCATATGTAAGCCAACAGGTATTGTGACTTGCCTAGCCTGGTCTGCCCCACTTCCAGTTCTCATGCTCACCAGTGGGGGTGGTGGCTCAGCTAGGTGTTCACCCACAGCACCATCGATTGGGCTTGCTAGACTTCCTCCTGCCCCCCACCATTGCCAGACTCACATGTGCTGGTGAATGCTGTGGTTCAGTCTAGCATGGCCTGCCTCACCTTGGCATTAGCCGTTGGGTGTTGTATCCTTGCTCAGCCCAGTCTGTCTTCAGTGCCAGCTTGTACTGGTGGGTGCTGCAGCCTAGCTAGCCCCCAGTCCTAGCCCTCATGTGAAATGGCTAGTGTTAAAGCCTGACCTGGCCTGTCCTGCACCTCGTCCTAATTCTCAGATCTGCCAGTGGGTGTTATAAACTTGCCCTGCCTGGCCTGCCATGAGGCCTGACCCACATATTTGCCAGTTGATACTGTAACCTGGCCTGGTCTGGGCTGCTCTCTCCCTTGGTTCTTGCACTCATCTGCAAGGACTGTATCCTAACAGAGGAGTTCCCCAAGCTCCTCTCTGTCAGGTCTCCTCCCAATGGCAGGATCCATCTCTCACACACATAGATGGGTCCTAGGCCCAGACTGACTTAGTCTACCCCCTGCCATGGCAGGAACAGTAGCTTCATCCAGCTGGCCCAGATCATTCCAGATCTTACTCTTGGATGCTGCAGCCCGGCCATACCTGGTCCACATCCTGACAAAACTCTTGCATGGTTCATTGGGTACTGAGACTAAGCTCAGCCCATCCTACCCTCACCCTGACTCACATGAGCACCAGTAAGTGCTGGAGTCTAGCCCAGTCTGGCATACCCCAGACCCAGTCCACCCCATGCTGAGGGACTTCGCAGCCCAGATTGCCACCCCCATTCCGGTTCTTGTGCTCACCATGGGACCCCAACCCAGCCTAGGTGTCCCCTTAGCTCCTCAACCAGGACTGTTCACACCCAAGTGTCTTGAGCTTGCCAGTGGTTGCCCCAAACCAGTTCAGCATAGCTCACTCCCTGTCTTGGCCTTTGCCATCGGATGCTGCAGCCTGGTCTGTCCCAGGCTGCTCTAAGTCCCAACTCTTGCTGGTGGGTACTGCAACCTAGCCCTGCCCAGTCTGCCCTATCTTTGGCTCATGCAAAATGGTAGGTGTAATAGCCTAGCCCATGGTGTCCTGCACTACAGCCTGGCTCCTGCACATGCCAGTGGGCTGATACTGGCTTGGCCCGGCCTGGTCTGACCCCTACAGAGCCAGCCCACATGCTTGTCTTTGAGTGGAGCTACCTTGTTTGGCTTGACCAACATCCAGGCCTGACTCACATGCTTACCTGCAGAGCTATGTTCCTCCGGGAGAGTTCCCCAAGGTCCCTACCAGTCTCGTTCCCAGACCCAGATCTCACATGTGCCAGCAGGTACTAGACCCTTACCTGGCATAATGTGTCATCTCTGTTCTGACCTTTGTATGAGCTGGTGGATGTTCAGTCCTGTCCTGCACCCTATTCTTGGGTGCACCTGTGGGTGTAGTAGCCTGGACCAGCCTGGCCTATTCCCAACCCTGGTACCCATGAGTGTTAGAGGCTTCCATGGCCATGCCTAGTTCAGCTCATCACTATCCCCTGCTCCTAAGCAAACCAGTGGACATTGCAGTTCCTTAGGCGTGGACCCACATATCCCTGACAGAATCTGCCCCCAGACCTTGTTCTCTCATATGCAGATCAGTGTCATGGCCCAGCCTAACTTGACCTATCCTCTGTTCGACACTCACTGGCAGGTACTGTGATCTAGCCCTGCCAGGTGGGCCTCCATACCTAGTTTTTGTGTGTACTGGTGGGTGGTGGTTAGTGATGGTCAATACGAACTAGCCCAGACTCAGGTCTCCCACTTGGATGGGTACACTAGTCTGACCCAGAAAGGTCCTTGGGCTTCCCCCTTTCAAACTGCTCAGTTTCATCTCTCTTGCTTACCTGCAAATACAGTGGCATCATCAGTGAAAATCCCCCAGAAGTCATTCCTCACCTGCACCCTACTTCCTTAGTAGTCCTCCCTCCCTACCTCCCTCACATCTCTGTACTCCCTTCTGTGAGCATTATATACTCCCTGCACATGGTAGCACATTGCCACCCCAGGCTGGTCTTTCCAAGCCCAGTCTTCTGGTATGGTGGCATGCTGGCCTGGAGCTCTGCCTACACACCTTTGACCCAAGATCATAGATGGGTTCTCAGACCCACTCCTCTGGCATGCATCCAAGTCTGAGACCTTACCTCTCCATCTTCCTCGAATACAATCACACGCATAAGATTCCAGGTCCTGCCCACAGGCATACCACACTAGCCAGAGGCCTTGCCCTCAATCCCTCTCCCTACCTGCCCTTGGACCGAAACACATGCACGATATTAAGTCTGCTCAGACAGCCCCAGCACAAGTCTGCATAACCCAGGGCTCATGGAAGAGAGTGAAGCTAGCTCTGCAGAGGTGGAAGGAAGCCGCCAGCAGCTCCGGCTCCAGCTGAACCCTTTAATGAACTTCTGTCCTTTGTAACATTGAAATTTATCGATCCATTAACACATTGATTGAATTGATTTTTTGTTTGCAATGAATGCTTTTGTAACATCACACATAGTTCAATTGGTAAATATTAATTCTCTGAAATATATAGAGCTTCTAAATATTTGCATATTTCATTGTTATAAAAATCATATAGTTAATATCTTCACTAACTTCATAAAGGGTTCTTAAATATTAGGAAGGTATCATACTGGTTGTAGGCATGTCTTCCATAATACTTATTGATGCTTTAAGTCTCTCATATTATCATTAATTACTAGTTCATGCTATTTCTTGCTTTACCTGAAGTAACAGGTCCGCTTGGTTCACTTGTCAGAACATGTTTGCTAGATCTCTAAGTCTAAATAGTGTGGTTTGTGAGTGTACAGCTTGATTACATAAGAACTTTTTCTTGAGGCAGTCATTGTGTTTTACTCTGCAGGATTCATTTGCTTAGTCCCTACTTTTTTCCTACAGAATATTGAAAATAGTCTACTTCAGTGTTTTAATAAAGTTAACACATCCCCCTGCTTTTTAAATCAAGGATATTCTTAAATGAAACTGGCGTTGTGCGGATAAATCTTTGGAAATATTTTGTCACTTCCCAAAATTAGGATTATTCTGCTGCTTAAAACTCAGAGCTTAACCTGAAAATGTTTTTAGAAATATCTAAAGTTGCTGTGTTATAAGACAATCTGTTACTTTAGAGCTAATAAAGTTATATTGTATTGTCATTTGTCTTATAGGTGCTATTCTTGGTAGATCAGAAACTCAGGAGTGTCTTTTCTTTAACGCTAATTGGGAGAGAGACAAAACTAATCAGACTGGTGTTGAACCCTGTTACGGTGACAAAGATAAGCGGCGGCATTGTTTTGCTACCTGGAAGAATATTTCTGGTTCCATTGAAATAGTGAAACAAGGTTGTTGGCTGGATGATATCAACTGCTATGACAGGTAAGGATGCATTTTACTTGTTATGAAAATCTTAAGTGAATCTCATTTCTTACTTTTAAAGCAGAAAAATTAATACCTTGATTTTCACATAAATTTTTTAAATGAGTATGAAGAACACTGTAATATATCCCATGGAATATATATTAAAGATTAATTTATTTTACCTTGAAAGTCAAAATTACATAGAGGGAGGAATACACACACACACGCAGAAAGAGAGGGGGGGAAAAGAGAGATAGAAAGAGAGAAAACCTTCCATATGCTAGTTTACTACATACATGGCTACAACAGCAAGAGCTGGCTGGTCTGGAGCCAGGAGCCAGAAGCCAGGAGCTTCTTCTGGATCTCCCATGTGCATACAGGAACCCAAGAACTTGGGCTATGCTCTTCTGCTTTCCTAGGCTATAAGCAGGGAGCCAGGTTGGGAAGTGGAACAGCTGGGGTATGAACTAACTGGCATCCAAATGGGATTCTGGCATTGGTAGTTGGAGGATTAGACTGTTACACCACTGCACTGGCCCCAAATATGGCATATTTATATTTACCGTTGATATCTTTAAATAACCTACTAAGAAGTGAGAACTTTTAGAAAAAAAATCACTTCTTTCCCCATGTTGTTAGGATTATACTTTTTAATACCAATTTTGAGAAAGAACAAACGATTTTTTAGTATTGATTTTTAAAAATTCTGCCCTTGTGGAATAAAACTTAAATCATAGTATTTAATTTTTGTTAAATTTGTTGTATATATGTAGAAGTTATTAATCCTGTTACCTTCTCTTTACCCTCCCCTCCCCCTTTTTTTTCTTGCAGAATAGTAAGCCTTTGCTCTTTACCTCCAGAAATGTTTTAATTTAACATTGGAAACTGCATCTGAACAGAGTCCTTATAGAAAGCTACATTCTATTTAAAAAACATTGTTGAAATTGCTGTATTCAGAAATAAAATGCAGTGGCCATGTTATTGACTACCTGGGTTCTGTTTGTGAAGAGAGCCATAAACACTGGGCTACCCACTTTAACTGCTTGGGCCACAAGATTTTCACTAGGGTGGGTGCTGGGGCATTTTGTGGCCTGTAAGTGCTGTGGTATATACTGACCTGTAGATACCTGCGGGTCCTCTTGTCAAGCCCCTCAATTGATTATTTTCACCTGTGTGTGACTGATACATTGACTAAACCTGAGAGTTAGTTCCATTTTGTTGAGAAATTATTTATTATTATTATTATTATTATTATTAATAATAGTATTTTATTTCATTTTGTGATACAGTTTCATAGGCTCTGGGATTCCCCCAACGACTCCCCATGCCCTCCCCCCATGTTGGATTCCTCCACATTGTTGCAGTAGTACAGTTCATAACAAGTCATGATTCCCTCATTGCAAGCATGTACCGTGCGTAGAATCCAGCCTCTTATTGTTCAGATAAGTTCAACAGTTTCATTGGGAGACCATCCCTGGTCTGAAAATAGAGCTGGCAGAATATCATTCCCTCCGATGAAAACTCACAACACAACACCAACAACAATTTACATTATTCTTGAGAATGGTCATTTAGGTATATGTATTTAGTATTGAGCGTATAGTTCTAAGTCTGTGAGTTTTCCAGGGATTATTCCTGTTTGGCTATATATTTTAGCCGCATTTCTGATTAACCTGTTTACTAGCAGAAGTAGTTATCAAGTGATACGTGATATTATGAGAGATAGAACAAATTCAGGAAGAGGGGAGATGAAGTTTGAAGGGGCATCTTTGACCAAAGCTGTCAGCTTGAGATCAAATAAAGAACTCTTCTGTTCTGTACCGAAAACGAAGTAAAACCAGTATTTTCATTATATGGAATTCAAGCAGTGCTAAAGCATTAGAGATCTGGGGGTACATTAGTAGTGCAGATGCTTTCTCTTGGAGTGATAATCACTTTAGCAGCTTTCTTTGGGGTTGAAGGCCAATTTGAAAGTATGTGAAGTTTTGCTTTTATGCTCTGATTTTGGCTGAAAAATAATTTATTAAGAGAATAAAAAAAGCAAAAATTGCAAGAAAAGTCAGCATATGAAAGATAATAATAAAATAATGAAATTGGGTGGTGACAAGTAGTTTCCTTGATTTAGTGTATGTAACTATATTGATTTTCTACAGTTTGAGGTGTGATTCTAAGTATTAGTTTTTAAACTTGTGCATTTTTGTTTCTAAATTAACAGTTAGCATTCATTTTGTCTTTTTATCTTCTGGTAACTAGATATTGGTATAGTCATAGATTATATTTTAAAATTTCGTTCTGTTAACAACTACTGTCTCCCTCATGTTTCTTGAGCTTCTCACTTGGGAGTTGAATTCAACCTTATTATCCTAATATTCATCAAAAATTTGCTTTATTGGTAAGATGTATCTTTACGTGCACCTGATATTTATTTGTAATGTTTAAAAGGTTGATTAAAAATTTGGCATAGCTCTTTCTTGCTTTTTGAGCAGAGCTAGTTCTAGAGCTTACATTTATGTTTTGAGACTTCTATTTAGAAGGCTGTCCCCCCCTCCCTTTTTTTTCAAATGGACCTAATTCTAATTTATTTGGGTTATTGATCCTATATATTGTTGTTACATTTTTATTTTGTCTTTGTTCTGTGTCTCAGTTATGCTCATTGCATCCAGGGAATTTAAATCTGCTGTTGGTAGCACTATTAATTCCCAAACCTAGGTTGGGGCTCGGGTGTTGAAATGTTTTCTGCCCAAGAAATGTGAGCTTGTAGCACTTAGTGTGCACATTTAAATATGTGTGTTATCCAGACAGATAGTTTTATGTGTGGTTTTCAGTTCCTGCATTCATGAAATGAGAAAGCTGTATTTCCTGTGAGCAAAGCAATCTTAGACTAAATTGCTTCATTGGCTTTATAGGTTACTCTTCAAACTTTCCTAATTCTTAAGGAAACAAAAATGATGATTACTTTAGAATTCCATTAAAAACAAAATTAAAGCTATACTCTCCAAGAGTCAGTGTGATTGTGATAAAATCAACTGATGCATTTTTTTGTTTGTTTGATGATAGTAACAGATTTAGAAGCAATTTTGGCGTTTTAAATATACCTGGATAACAAAATATTAAGCTTTCTATAGCAGAAAGTTGTAATCAAGACTACACCTGATAGACTATTTTACTGCAAAACACAGGAGACACTGTGCATGGAGAGAAGGGGCACAGAAGGGGGAAGGGAGGAAGCCCTATACCTATAAAATTGTAAAAAGAAATATAAAAAAATTGATCATGGGTTATTAATAGAAATTTTAGTGTTGAATATTAACAACTCATTTTATCTCTGTGAAGAAAAAACCTGTTATAGGGGCAACACAGTGGGAATTTAACTATTATTCCTCTGTTTGTTTGTAGGACTGACTGTATAGAAAAAAAAGACAGCCCTGAAGTGTATTTTTGTTGCTGCGAGGGCAACATGTGTAACGAAAAGTTTTCTTATTTTCCGGAGATGGAAGTGACTCAGCGTAAGTTCATAGAGAAAATATGTAGTTTTGTTCAGTTTGTAGTTTGGAAATGAAAAATGGTAGAAAATTAATGATAGAATGTGTTACTCCAACTGGTTCATTCTGTTTTCTCTTCTGAAATAGAATTTTGGAGGAAAAAATCTCAGTTGTTTTCTCCCTCCTTTTTCTACAGCCACTTCAAATCCAGTTACGCCTAAGCCACCCTACTACAGCATCCTGCTCTATTTCTTGGTGCCGCTTATGTTAATTGTGGGCATTGTCATTTGCGTGTTTTGGTTGTATAGGCGTCACAAAATGGCCTACCCTCCTGTGCTTGTTCCAACTCAAGTAAGTGATTGTCCTGCATTTTGTTCCCTTTTAAACTTTATATTTTTAGGAAATAATATTTTCATGAAACAAACTAGATTAATACAAATCGGTTTCTTTTGAACTAAATTTTTGAATGTTTAGTGTCACGGGGATAACAGCTAATTTGGTAAACTTGTGAATTTGCTGCATCGCAAACTTCTTAAGGAGTGAAGTCTAGTAGAATGAGGAGTTTCCCATTCCTGTGCTTTTGGGAGTTTTTATTTTAATACAACTGTGGAATACTCACTTGCACTTCTTGGAAAGTAGTTGATGATAGAGAAAAAGTGATGGCATAAGTGTTTCTTCCCTTTTTGTTTTTTTCCTCCATCTATAAATCCCCTTTTACGTGTAGAGTTGGGCCCAAAAGGTATCCAAATAAAGAGTGAAAAAAGGGATTTGGTAAAGCCTTAAGAAAGATATACAACCAAAATGTTGTTTTAGGAAAGAAAAGTAGAGGAGCAGCATTTCTTACCATATGTTGTTGGTAGTTGGATTATATTTTTTATCTTCACCCATCACATATGTACTGAAGACTGAACTTTTTTTAGTGTACTTGATTGTCCTGTGTTCTACCACAGATATTTCTGAAGATAGATTATATTCATTGAATTTTCCTCCTAGGCCATCGTAGATAATTGGTCTGTGTTTAACAATGCCTTTTCGTGGAAGTAGTTGATATTCTGCATGCGCAGAAAGCTGATAAATTTGGGTTTTGCTAGCTTGAGTCATGTCTAATTTCTAGTTTTTACTGTGTTTAACTTTTTAATATCAGATTACCTTGGCCTTGAGGATCTCTTGGTTTAACTTTGTTTCTTTAATACCAGTAGGATTAATGGTTAAAACTTGACAGAAAAAAATGGTGAAGTCCTATAATTTAATGACAAAAACAACTCTTTCTCTCTAAGCTTTATTTACATAACATACCTTTTTTTAGTACTTGCAGCAATCTGGTAGCATTAAATCATTGATCCCCTTAATCTTTCTAAGATGTGTATATGGAGAAATAAACCCAAAGGTAGAACACCTTGCACTGTAAATTAGTTAAATATACTTTGTATTTTGCAGAAGTTAAATATTTTTAACTTAAAAAATTATTCATTAACAGGGGGTGGGGGAGGAAGAGAAAGAAAAGGGCAGAGAATGAAATCTCCCATGTACTGGTGTTGGACAAATAATTACAACAGCTGGGGCTGGGCCGGGACATCTGGGAGCCAGGGACTCAATCAAGGCCTCCCTTTAGGGAGACAGGGATCCAGGTAATCAAGTCAGAGTGGCTTCCACAGGGTTCCCTGAAATTAGAAGTGGAGCTGCAAGGGACTGGATCCCAGACACTCCAATGTGGAATGCAAGTAGCCCAAGTGATGTCTTAAACACTGCACTGAATATTTGTGTCAGATATTTTATACTCTTGCAACATTAGTAATTACATTTGGATTTATTAAACATCATATGTGAAAAGTATTCTAACATAGAAAAACCTGTATAGTTTGTCTCAAATGTGCATAGACTAGATAGCAATTTCCCTCTGTCAGTGGTAACTTTAAAAATATTTTAATATATAAGTTTAGAAGAGAAAGAAAGTATTCAGTACTGACTTACCCTAGTTTTGTGATATGATACAAAATAGCTAGAAACGATGTTTTTTTTTTTTTAAGATTTGTTTTATTTTTATTGGAAAGTCAGATATACAGAGAGGAGGAGAGACAGAGAGGAAGATCTTCCGTCCGATGATTCACTCCTCAAGTGGCCACAACAGCCAGAGCTAAGGCAATCCAAAGCTAGGAACCAGGAGTTTTTCTAGGTCTCTCATGCAGGTTCAGGATCCAAGGCTGTGGGTCGTCCCCCCACCCAAGGCTATGGGCCATCCTTGACTGCTTTCTCAGTCCACAAGCAGGGAGCTGGATGGGAAGCTGGGCTGCTGGGATTAGAACCAGCGCCCAATGGGATCTCAGTGCATTCAAGGAGAGGCCTTTAGTCAGTAGGCTACCACGTTGGGCCCTAGAAACCATGTTTATGAATACGTTTAAAGTTTTTAAAAAGGAGTTTTAAAATAACAGTGTCACCTTATGTGGTTTGCACTAATGAAAGCCAAGCTAAAACATTTTTCAAAAGGCTTTGATTTCTTATATACGAGGCCATGTTATTTAGAAATGCTAGTTAATTCAAGGATTTAGCCTTTCAAAAAAGGAAGGATACTTTTATTACTGTAAATAAGAACCAGACCTCTCCCATGAGCATCACCTCTGTGGGTTTTAGATATTTGTTGTTGTTAATATTATTGTTCACATTTACTTGATACTTGCACTCATCTGTCATGAGCATACATGAACTGTGTATTTGTTGAAAAAATAAGGGCTATGTTTATGGATTTTGTATTCAGTGACTTGGCATAGTGAAGCTTTATTGTGAGAAATATGACAAATTTGCCTTTTTGCTTTCCCTTTGCCTATGTTGTGGAAAATGAGTGTTACAGTCAATGTGGAGCTCCATTTTTATCACCTTAGAATGCTGTCTCTAAAAATTACAATATCATGTGTTTTTATCTCACTTTCTGATGAGACATTAATGCAAACTGAAGCTTTGCATGGCTGTTTAGTGACCATCCAGTTATAAGTGGTGTAGTTTTATCTTTCATTTGAAAATAACAGTCTATAGTTACATTTATTGATGAAGCATTTCCAGGGTGTGAGATTGGCCATGAAGATCAGTCCTGGCATATACTGACATGTATGTGTATGCTTGTACACTTCAGGCTGCACTCCAGCCTGAAAATGTAGAACAGGGCCTGGCATGCTATTGGAAGCTTCTCAGGTGCAGGCCTGCACAACATTGATTTAATATCACCTCATAGGGCTGTGAATCCCCATTTCAGAGATAAAGAAGTTGAGACATAGAAGAACTTCTGAGTGTCAGAGCTGAGATTCGAACCAAGGCCCGCTGGCTGCTGGGCTTCCACTCTTCCTGGTTATGTTGTTGTGCCTTTCAGAGAGCAGATGCTTCTGTGTTTTATCTCATTTATTACACTTCTTTGCAGTCTCAATTCTGTAGGCTCATTTATTTTCCTGCCTTTCAGTATTAGATAGTTTGTGTGGCTAGTAAAATGAACAACCACATCATTTCAAGTTAGCGTTGTTCTAAATGGGACAAAAGCAAGTCATAGATTGAAGGACATATACATAATACATAATACAGTTTTTGTTTGAAAGATTGTTACAGTACATTTAGTAATAGGGTCTATGAACATATGATTGACTTATAGATAAACATTCCTGGGTTGCTGCTGCCAGTGCCTGCTAAGTTGTTCAAGAATTTTTGAAGGGCAGAAGTTAGGAGAGACATGTTGTACGTTGAAGTTACAGTGAGTTCCTATTTCACCACTTGTTCATATTCTCACCTTAATATTGCATACTGCAAGCCCTGGTAGCAAAAGATCTTCTGTTGTTGCTAGGGGTTTCTAGAATGTTTTCCTTCCACCTGCTTTAAATATTTTCAGACAGCAACATAAAATTTGTCCTGTCTTTTCTTCAGGAAACTTTTCATTAGAGCTTTGGTTAAAGGCTGGTTGAATTAGTTGGCTTGTAGAATATTGGTCTCATGATCATTAGGCTGCTTCTGGCTATTAAATGATGGTTTTCTGCATCTCTGAGACAATGAGTGGCTTAAAATTTTTCAGATTTTGCTAATTTATCTGGAAGAAATAATAGATATTAGTACTTTGAAATCTTGTGTTTATGGTTCTTAGTCATCAAAAACATTTACTTAAAATAAATCTCACACAGTAAAAGGTATAGAAAAAAGTTTTTTTTTTCTTTTTAATCAAAACCATTCATATTTCCTTGTAACCCTTAACTGCTGTGCTTCTACCATTGTTACGTGCTTTCAGTTTCTCCCCATTTTGTGTATCTTGGTGACAGCTATTTTTAGCTCTGTCATTTACCAAGTTGTGATCACTTACATTTTCATCCTGATTGATACCTATTGTAATTCAGGGCATTGTTATACTTGAAGATGAGATTGCCTTTATGATCCTTATTTTAAAAAATTTTATTTATTTGACAGGCTGAGTTAGAGAGAAAGGAAGAGATAGGAAGAGAAAGACAGAGAACTTCCATCTGCTGACTCAGCCCCTAAAGGGCCACAATGGATCATGGAGCTGGGCTGGTCTGAGGCCCCAGAGCAAGGAGCTTCTTCCGAGTCTCCAATGGTGATCCAGCCACTTGGACTCTCTTTTGCTGTTTTCCCAGGTTTTCAGCAGGGAGATGAATCAAAATGGAGCATCGGGACTTGAAGCAATTTTACTTGCTCTCTACCACAGTGTTGCTAGCTGCCTCCCCATCCCTTAAGATTTGTTTGTTTGTTTTAATGATTTTTATTTTTATTTGACAGACAGAGTTAGAAAGAGTGTGAGGGATCTTCCATCCTTTGGTTCATTCCGCAAATGGCTGCAACAGTCAGATCTGGGTCAGGCTCAAGCCAAGGGTAAAAAAACTCTACCCTGCTCTCTCACGTCTTTCACAGAGGGCCAAGTATTAGGACCATGTTTTTATTTTATTTTTTAAGATTTGTGTACAATAAGAGAGAGAGAAAGGCGGAGGGGTGGGAGGAGAGGGAGAGAAAGAGATTGATTTTCAATCCACTAGTTAACTCCTCAAATGGCCATCCACTACATCTCTTCCCAAATGGCCGCAATAGCTGGAGCTGAGCTGAGCTGATATGAAGCCAGGAACTCCTTCCTGGTCTCCCACATGGGTGCAGAGTCCCAAGATTTTGGGCCGTCCTCCAGTTGCTTTCCCAGACCATAAGCAAGCAGCTGGATGGGAAGTGGAGCAGTTGGGATACAACCCAGTGCCTATATGGGATGCTGGCACTTGAAGATAGAGGATTGCCAGTTGAATCATCATGCTGGCCCCAGACACATTAGTTGGAAGCTGGATCAAAAGTGAATCAGTGGGGATCTAATTATAGGATTGCAGGTGGTG